CTTCAAACTCAAAGCAACGTGATTGACTCTTAAATGTCTCCTGGGCAATTAGGGATAGGAAATAAATACTGGTTTAGCTGGCATCACCCTCACCCCGTGAATGAATGGTAAAAAGAACCAACCCAAGGCTATGGTGGTTCCTGCCAGCAGCTAATTGAGCTCCCTGTTGTTGTGAATGGTGAAGTGTAGGTGGTGGGGGTGATGCTAGTCTTCTTGTTGGTTCTGAATGAGCCCAGAAACTCAGCAGTCAGGTATTCAAGAACAGCAGCCAAGTAGATACAGGGCATTAGGAAGGGAGTTCTAGGTCTTTGATCCTCCAAGAGTGAAGGAGCAGAGATATATTTCCATGTCAGGATGATACGAGCCTTGGAGGGAAAGTTGCAAGCAGTGGTGTTCCCGTGTATCTACTGCCTTCGTCCTTCTAGGTAGCTGAAAGGTATGGATGGCGCTGGCGAAATTAACTTCAGTGGACTCATGACTACCAGCTTTCATGCTTCATTACATACTTATAAATCTAATTTTACTGCAGTCACATTTCACCCAGTCTTGCCTCATTTACTTTATATCCCATTTTTTAACATTTCTCCCACTGCACTCCTCTGGTGACATATGCCTTGTTCCCTCCACCCATTCGATTTCAATTGATGTACTGATCATTTTGGAGCACCATCAAACAGCAAACTGATGTTAATATTTTCTGGGTGAGATCGCAACAATTCTTAGATTAACAGAACCAAAATCTCAAGAGAATTAAATCTGTAGCTACTGTTGTGTTCAGGTGTTCTGTCACACAAATAAAACAACATGCTTCTGGAGGTTTATTTTCAATATTCTCAGTACTACTGAGACTTAGTTAGACTATTACCAGGGCTGTATTACATCTTCTAGCAGAGTTCAGGGCAACAAAGTAACACAGATGTCCCAGGCTGGGGGGGATATGCTGTATGGAAATAGCAGAATTAATTTGAAGAGTAGAATTTGGTATTTTGTTGTCACCTTTTTCACTAGGTTGTAATTTATAGGCAAGGACAGAATACAATCATATAGAATTAACAACATTCCATGTTAAAGAAAACAGACTTGCATAGACATATCTTTCACGGCTTCAGGACATCCCAAAGTACTTCCTTTGAATTGTAGTTACTGTAGCAATGAAGGGAAACGTGGAACTTATTTTGTATACAGCAAAACTCCAAGAAGTGCAATATAGGTCAAACATGGACAAGGAAACCTCCTGTGGGCTATCACATACCATCCTCCTTCGGCTGATTAATCAGTGCTCTATTACATTGGACATCTTGGAGGAAACACTGAGAGTGACATGGGTGCAGAATGTCCTCTGGGTGGGGGACATTAATGTCCTCACTAAGAGTAGCTCAGCTGAACCACTACATACTGAGCTGGTTGAGTCCTAAATGACAGAGCTGCAAGACTGGGTCTGTGGCAGATGATGAAAGAACAGACAATAGGGAAAAACATTCTTCACCTCATCTTCAGCAAACTGCCAATGACAGATACATCTCTCCATGATAGTATCGGCAAGAGTTCACACCACATAGTCCTTTTGGTAATGGAGTTCTGAGGATAATTCCCTCTATATTCTGTGGCAATACCATGCAAAAAAATAAGGTAACTTTGAATAGATCTATCAACTCATAAACAGGTATTCATGAGATGTTGTGGGCCATCAGCAGCAGCAGAACTGTAATTCAACATAGTCTCTCGCTTCATGTCTCTGCATACGCCCCACTCTAACATTACCATCAAGTCAGGGTTTAATGAAGAATGCAGGAGGGCAAAACCAGAGTAGCAGCAGGCTAAAAATAAGGCATTATCGTGGTGAAGCTACACCACAGGACTACATGTACTGCAAGCAGCATAAGTAGCAATTTACCCTGACCCTAACCCTAACCCCAACACTATCGCAAATAGTGAGGACTAAGCAATTCCACGACAAACAGATCAGATGTAAGCTTTGCAGACTTACCACATCCAATCATGAATGGTAATGAATACTCACTGGAGTAGGAGGCTCCGTCCTCAATGAAGGGGGAGCCAAGCACATCTGTGCAAATGGACAGCAGCAGATCAAAAAAACAGCTAAACCAACTTAAGGGCATTCAGCAATAGACAATAGGACACTGGGAAAACCTTGCCACTCTTCTTCAAATAATAATTTGTGAATTTCAATGTTCACTTGCGACAAAAGACGAAAATTGCTGGAAAAGCTCAGCAGGTCTAGCAGCACCTGTGTAGAGAAAGCAGAATTAAAGCTTAAGGTCCAGTGACACTTCTTCAGAACTGGACCCAAAACATTAACTCAGCTTTCTTTCCACAGATGCAGCCAGACCTGCCGAGTTTTTTTTAACCAATTTCCAGTTCTGATTTCCAATAACCTCAGTTCTTTCAGTTTTTTGTTCAATGTTCACAGCAAAGAAACTGTAAAGTGTGAATTATGTAGAAAATTACAAGCAGAGATTGAGGTGCAATTCTCTAAACTTGCATCACTGGAATGGATAATTTCACAAAACAGGTTGAAACTTTGTTTTGCTATGTTTTATGTTCACTGTATTCCATTGTTCAATTTTTAAAAAATATTTTGTGTAATAAACTGTTGTTTCATTGTAACAGAAAATCCATTTCCACATGTGAACATGTCTCTGTACCACATAAACTAACTAAATTTTAACAAAAATCAACCAAGCCAGTTTTGACTTAGGGATCTGACTTGTTCTAAAGTATAATCAGCTGGGATCATATGGTTTCCATTTATGAACAGAACAATATCCAAGAGATCACAAAATAAAGCTTTGGCTGTATTCTGACATGCTGCCACTATGAATAAGACCACATACACATTCATGCTTCATTTCAAGACTACCACAACCAAATCATTTATGCTATTGGTTTCATGTCATTTTTATGGCTTGATTGGACAATGCTTCTCAATAGTTTGTCTCGGGAAGGTTCTCCTGAGCAGTACTCAGGAAGAGTACTGAAGAAACAGAAACAATACTAATGAGTATTTCAATTGAAACTCTCTGCAGGGAAATAGCAATTATAACTCACCATGTCATAACTTTATTCTTCTGGTGATGAACACTGGTCACATAAGTTTTAGAAGGACAAACAATTCACAACTCTTACATCTGTATCTTACATTATACCAAGTCCAGATTACCTATCGACCTTCTGCTTGCTGACCTGTGTTAATTTTCAGTCCTGCAAATACTCAATTTAGAAAATTCTCATTCTAGTTTTGAAATAATTCTTTGGCCTATTTCATCCAGATCTCTGTAACCTCTACTAGTCCTAAAACGCTCTTAAATATCTCTGCTCCTTTAATTCACACCTCTGGCACATCTCAATTTTCACTGTTCCACCACTGGTTACCGTGTTCAGTTGTATTGTTCCTAAGCTACAAAATTGCCTCCCGAAACCCTTCTGTCTTTCTCTCCTTTCAAGACATTCCTTAAAACCTATCCCTTTGACTAATTAAAAACCAAAAGAACTGTGGATGGTGTAAATCAAACAAAAACAGAAATTGCTGGAAAAGCTCAGCAGGTCTGGCAGCAGCATGCGAAGAAATGAGAGTTAATCGTTCAGGTTGAGTGACCCTTCCTGTTCTGATGCTGCCAGAGCTGCTGAGCTTTTCCAGCAATTTCTGCTTTTGTTCCTCTGACTAATCTCTTGGTCACATGTCCTAAAGTCTCCTTTGTAATTTAGTGCCAAATTTTGTGTTATGACATTCTGTGAAATGCACTGGAATGTTTACATTCTAAAGTATTACACTCTTGTCCTCATTATCCACAAGGACTAGGGGCACAGACTTCAAGCAAATAATTAAAAAAACTCAAATACCTCTCCTACGTTTTATGAAGGACCATGTAATCAGTTTACTGAGGACAATGGGAAATAAAATGATGGAGTCTGGTTTATAAATCAGCAGATGAGGATTAAGTGCCTATGGCAATGATGAAAAAGTTGTCAAATATAATAAACTTTGTCAGGCCATCAGATCTAAACAAAAAATGACTTTGACTCCCCAGTAGGAATACAGCCTGATCCTGCTGGTATCCTACTAGAAATTATAATTGGTCCTAAGTGAACAGGATAAGATGGTTTCCACTCATTTTGACAAAAGAAATAAATCTACTTATGCAATCATCATCATGATTGTCATTTGTCCTTGAACACTGAAGATAACTGCCAGAAAATCATCTTTTGTGGAGTGAGCTCCACACTGATACAGAGAATGAATGTCCGCAGAGAGAAGATAGTGAATTGCTAATACACCAGGTTAGGAATCTTGAATTTTCAGGTGAAACTTGTAATTGTTATTAACCATAACCAGTTCATTTCAGCAGCCATTATTTCAAAGCATAGAGTAAAACTGACTAACGATGTGTGCTATCCATTTGGGCAAAGGGTAATACCAAAATATTAAAAAGTCTATCACATCACTAAATCACTCAATTTAGTAAATAATTTGTCAATTCAGTCAAAGATTTCATTGACATCACCAATTCAACATTCGGAATTATTGAATACATTTTGCCAGAATAAATTTTCTATTTGAAAGATTTTTAATAATGGGCCTGCTGTCATGCAAAATAAAAACCAAAAGAATTGTAGATGTTGTAAATCAGGAACAAAAACAGAAGTTGCTGGAAAAGCTTAGTAGGTCTGGCAGCATCTGTGAAGAAAAAAATCAGTTAACGTTTCGGGTCCAGTGACACTTCCTTAGAAGGGTCCTCCATTCCGAGGAAGGGTCACCAGACCTGAAATGTTAACTGATTTTACTTCACAGATGCTGCCAGACCTGAGCTTTTCCAGCAACTTCTGTTCTTGTTCCTGCTATCATACAACTTGTCCTATATTTGAAAAACAGCAGTTTTGCAAAACAGTCTCCCTTTGGAAGAAAGCTTAACTTCTTGCCTTCCTAAAATCCCTGGCTAAAACGATTACTTAGCAGCTTTACAATAGCTTGTTTGACTCACCAAGCCTTTGCATGTAGAAAGTGCCACTGAAGATTTGTTATGTGATATTAAAGCACCTTGATAGAAGCACAGCTCCTCTGGATGATAATGCTCTACAGATTTTAAGCCTTGTTTTCCTAAAGTCTGAACTGTAAATCCGGGAGGCATGAAGCCCTCAGAAGTTCTTAGCTCCAAATGAAAGTCCTGGCCAAACCCATTGAGTTTGAAGTAGAGGGATTCATCACCAACATTATGAACGGATCGCTTCTTTCTCTGTTGATGGATTACTGAGAGAGAGACATAATCACCACTGCTGTCAGCTTCATATGGAGTCACAATTTCATATTCTGCAAAAATACAATCAATCTGTTACTGTGTTGGTCTTAAAGCTAACCCAACAGCACCTAACAAAAATGTTCTCTATGAGTCGATTCTTTTCTTTGTAATCAGTCAAAAACATTTTTTAATACTTCTTATAAGATTTGGGGTGCTCAGCTTTAATACACTCCTTAAAATCCTTTCAAGCTTGATGTTACTGAATACTTTATTAATTTTTATTAATAATATAATAAATAACTGTCCATATTTGATCATTCCCAGAGTTAAACACATTTTTAAATATCACAAATTGAAAAATATGGAAACCAATGCACATTTGCAATAAAAAGGGTCAAAACTTTGAAAATAATTATAATCAAAACATTATAAACAAAAAAAATGCGTGCAGCATGAGCAGACATCTCCTGTCACACAAGTCCAGATGAATTAGAAAAAGAATCTGACATGGTGAAATGAAAGCAAGGACCAAAATAAATTCCATAATAAAACTAAATGTACAGCTGTATGCTTATTGGGACAGGTACCTATCAAAAATTGATAGTGAATTATTCAAAAGTCAATGTGCACCACAGCTACTGGTAGCTGGTGCAGAAAGGATCATGCACCTACTGAAACATGCAAGCAAAATTGTAAGTTGAAGGGACATGTGAAGTCCTTAAGAGAGCATGAACATAGAACTCACATGTTTTGGTATTTGAGAAAACCAATTAGTAACTGAGAAATTAGGCAGGATTTCTCGCCTCCTTGACCTATTGACCTTTCTCATCCTGTTCACACAATATTCCAAAATCATGACTGCTGATAACCTGTCTTAGGCTTTCTAATTCTAAGAGCTTGGTATGTGGGGGTGAAAGGGGTGGGGATCCTTAATTTCAGTTTTTCTTTCCTGAAGGGTGCATCTGTCAATCCTGCTTAGCATGTGCTTCTGGGCTCAACTGAAATTCAAACTTTCCATTTGAGAAAATCAAAACCATGAAGCTGCATCCTGCATTTCCATGGTTCAGTTCTTTAAAACAAGTTACAACAGAGTCAGACAATGCTTTTTGTGTGGAATGAACAATGAAAGGTCATTGGCTTTCCTTTAATGCAACTCTTTAGTTTAAGTCACTCATGGAAAAATAACACTCATACAAAGCAAACTGTCAAGAAACACAAAAACCATTCATGTAAACATTGTAGCACAAATCATTAAAAATAATTGAAACTAATACTTCTGTAAGGTGCATGTGTTTTACCTTTCTGATCTATAGCTTACTACTCTTTTATGATTCATTTCAATTGGTGTTTCATCTTATATAGAAGTATAAGAGATTTACCAATATGTCATCAGAAATGGAGAGTTATAAGGAAAGGCTGGACAGGCTGGGACTTTTTCATTGGAGTGTAGGGGGTTGAAGGGTGACCTTATAGAAGTTTATAAAATCATGAGAGGCATAGACAAGGTAAATGGCAGGTGTCTTTTCCCTAAGATGGAGATTTCAAGATGAGGGGACACTTTTAAGGTGAGGGGAAGCTTTTTTCAAACATAGACAATGGTTCCCATGTGGAATAAACTCTGGAGGAAGTGGTGCCTGCAGGTATAGTTAGGACGTTTAAAACACATTTGGATAAGTACATGAAAAAGAAATATTTAGAGGGATATGGGCTAAGTGCAGGCAGGTGGAACTAGTTTAGTTTGGGATAATGGTTGGCATGGACTGGTTGGACCGAACGGTCCTTTTCCACGCTGTATGACCCTATGACTCTATAATTGTGTAACAGTTATTTTGGTATAACTTGTTTTTGTCTTCTTCCCAAACTCTTGGAACTACTTACTCTACTTGAAACATCAGTTCCTAACCAAGTGGTCATTTGTCTTTTGGAAGTACAGACAGGAAGTATTACTAACTAAGAGTGGTATCGCAGCCAAGCACATTACAGTCCTCAACTGATATTCACAGATATGCAATTCTTGACAGGTTCACTGGACAACAGGCAGGAGCATATGAATTGCATGTTTCATCCCTTCACACCTCAGTGTACCAATAACACTTCAATTTGTTGCTTTAAATCATGTCAGCTCACTTAGTATAAATAAAATAATTAAACCTGGAGGTTTCAATCTGTTCAGCTCTACACAATATCAAGTGCCAAATTCTGGAATTCTAAATGTCCATTGACTCTAACAGCATATTATGCCTTACATAAGTATTTTGTGCTTAGGTCTGAAACAGCTGAAATAGCTTAGATCGCAATTCATCTGACCACACCCTTATAAAGTGCCTTTACTCTATTAAAGCTATAACATAAAGGTTGTAGGCATCAGCAGAATTTAAATTTTAAAGTTGACAGAACATATATTGCAATGATGGAATAATGAGCATTTGCAGAAAGTTATCCAAATTCCTTTCCTCTCCAGGTGATCAGTAAATTTATAGCTGAAACAAGATACCGAAGGCAGGAATTATTACGTCAAATGAGATGAACAAGCAATTTCATGTCTTTTTATTAATGATTAAGTGTTTCTTTATAAATACTGTAGGTAAGGCAATGGCATCCAGCTGTCAGATTATTTTATACAAAAATGGAAAATTGAGGTTATAGCTAATTAAGAAAATATTTTCAGCAACGACGGTATTCATATGAGTCTCCTCTACATGATGTAAGCAAAACATTAAAAATGACCGACTGATTAGTATCAGCTATGCTAAAACATGTGTAAATATTCTAGAAAGAAAGCAGATGTTGGGTTGCATGAACAAGAGTGTAGGTGTTCTTTGGTGATTTTTCAACAGGAACGTAGTGCCTACTGTTCTCATTATGAGTTGGTCAATCAGTTCAAAAACCAGGACTTGTGCCATAACATGTTTGATTTGAGATTGTGCTTTTATTGTGTAATTTAGCTCACATGTAAATCAAAACTCATGTTTCCAAGGATACATAATCTACTTAATGAATAATTATGGAGGAAAATAATCCCATTCATTATTCTATGTAATGATGCTGAACATACACACTATGAAGGATTACTTCATGAATTAAGCATGCATTTAGTGATGTACATAACACTTGAACAACCAAATTCTTGAAACCTAACAAAGTGAGTTCATTTCCAGAGCATTTGTACAGCATTTCAAACCTGAGGGTTTAGCATTCCAACCCTTCTTCACTTTAACATTATAATGGATACAAGTTAATCAGCCACCATGCTACACAGTTGTTTCACATTTTAAGTGCTGCATCATACATTCTACTTAAAAACATAAACTTATCTAGGACTTTCAAGAAATCATTATCAACACGTTTAAAAACAACATATGACATTCTATTTAAAGCAAGTCCATAAGAGTATGGGGAGACATGGAAGTTTAAAAATAAACTCAATATTCCCCTACGGCATTCAGCCATGTAAAAGACCACGTTGTTTATACACGTGAAATATGTATTGGCATATTTTAATGCGAAAGAAATTTCCATGGCATTATTAGCATTTTCAATGCCCTCTATATGCAGGACCAACTGGTTCAATCAACTGATGTTCACAGTTTGAGGATGCATAGAAACCAGAGGTGTTAAGCTAAAATAGATCACACTCTACAGTATGATTTTTATATCAACTATACAGTCAGATTTAGTGAATAGTATTTCTTTCATGTCTGGAATAAATTGCCGCCTAAGATTGCTAAGAGTTGATTCATTGACAATGTCTATTAGTGTTAAAACAAGAAACAAGAAAGAAATATCAGTGACTTCATTATAGCACATAGTATATCTTTGTGAAATAATTTAATTGCAAAGGTCAAACTCTTCATCAATTCAAAGAAAAGGTTTATAACAACAACTTGTATTTGCATAGCATTATTAAACATTCCAAGGCATTATGAAATAAAATATAACACCCAGCAGCACATGGACATGTTAAGGCAAATAAGCAAAAGCTTGACCAAAGTAGGTTGTAAAGAAATGTCTTGACGATGGAAAATAAGGAGAAGAGGCAAAGAGCTTTAAGAAGAGAATTGGAGATTAGGGCCTAGGCACTCTAGGCACAGCCACCAATGGTGGAGCAATTAAAGTCAGAGATGGTGATAAGACCCAGTTTGAAGAGTCAAAGTATTGGAGAGTTGTAGGACTGAAGGGGATACAAGGCTGGGAGAGATAGATTTAAAACAAGGTTGGGAATTAAGCCATTGTTTAACTCTGAGCCAGTCCACAGGCACAAAATGACAAATGAATGGGATTTGGTACAAAGGGAAGTGTGCAGCAGAGTTTTGCATGGAACTTAATAGCAGTCTGATCAAAAGCATGTCAGAATAAGTAACAAAAACAAAGTTGCTGGAAAAGTTCAGCAGGTCTGGCAGCATCTATGATGGAGAAAACAGAGTTAACGTTTCGGGTCCGATGACCCTTCCTCAGAACTGATGGTGGCTGGGAAAACGTCAGTTTATATGCAGAAAATAGGGAGGTGGGTGGGGTAGGGAGTAAACAATAAGATAGAGCCCAAAGAGAGAGAAAGATAGCAGAGGGAGTGTTACCCCCTCCCCCCCACCCAGTTGTTAGTCACCAACAGTCCCCATTAACAACTATTCACCCTCCCAGCCTGATTGTTAGCAACTCCTTTGTCTGTCCAACTGTCTTTCTCTCTCTTTGGGGTCTATCTTATCGTTTACTCCCTACCCCACCCACCTCCCTATTTTCTGCATATAAACTGACGTTTTCCCAGCCACCATCAGTTCTGAGAAAGGGTGACCGGACCCGAAACGTTAACTCTGTTTTCTCCTCCACAGATGCTGCCGGACCTGCTGAGCTTTTCCAGCAACTTTGTTTTTGTTCCTGATTTACAGCATCCGCAGTTCTTTTGGTTTTTAGTCAGAATAAGTAAGTTTAGAGGTAACAAAGGTATGGATAAGGATTTTTAGCAGAAGGTCTGAGGCAAGGCCATGAGATCTACTTGACAACACAATGTGATCAAAACTCATATCGGGGTGAAATCAGGCACTAAGTTGCAAACAATCTGAGTCCGTTTTTACCTAAAATGTTGATTGTTGTCCTGATATGGATGCTGCCCAATCCTTGTACTTCAGGCGTTTCTATTTTACCTCAGAGAGCTACCATCTGTAGTATTTTGCTTTTTATTATCTAAGTTGACTCTTAAACAATTGAATTCATTGCACAGAACTTTCTGTAAAAATCACAATTAGTGCTGGTTCAATATTTACAAGTAATTAAAGTGGTTCTGCCATAATGCCTAATGCCAGGGATGAGGAGTTCCAGCTAAGTACCCTTCTCAATTCAATACTCGGTGACTAAAGCTCCTTACTGCTCAAGTTGTGTGTTGGAGCACCCTCTGGCGTTTCTCGCTGTATCTCGTTGTATTTCTAAACGTGGAGCTCGATTGTAATCACAAGGTGTGATTTTGTTTCGCCACGTAAACCTGTGTGCAATATGCTCGAATATTGGCATGGTGGGGACAACAGTGACATCCTTTAGCACGCTCAAACTCATAACACTCACCGCTGTTGTCACCCAGCTCCAGCCACCCAAATGCTGACAGATGATGATGGACTGGCTTCTCACCTCCAGCTCGTGCAGCAGCAGTTGCGACGTGAATGGCTTCACCAGCAAAGTCACTCTGAAAGACAGAAGCAGAGAACAATAAATATGCATAGAAATACTGCAACGAATTTATACCAAAATTGCAAAATTACAATACGACCTGTTTCACATATCCACATTCCAATTTATACAGACACTCAGGGATACATAAAAGGACAAGTCTAACGTGCCTTGTGACGAAGTCCCATCAATATGAGAAGTTGAAAAACTGCGAGCACTTTTCTGCAAAAGGACCCCCCAGATAGTAAAGGGCCCATTGCATCCTCCAAAACCTGCATTTTGTTTTTTTTTTCCCCTTGTTGCTTTTTCAGTATTAACAGAAGAAACTGTCCCTTTTAGCTAGAGCACCTGATGAAAAGTTTTCGATGGGGTGTGGGTGCGAATAATTCAATAATAAATAAAAGACTGGGTTCACAATGCAGCGAGTTTCGGGGGCACGCTGCAACTGGCCAGGGGCTCGGCTGGTGTTAACAGGTACATTGGCAGCGAAAGCCCCGGCTGAAAGCTGGACTTCCAGCTGCTTTCCACAGACACTGTGCTGGGCTCCTGGAGCCGCTTTTAGTCGCTGTGCTGCCAGTCGATTTCCAGTGCTGAAAGGGGATCCTCTGCTTTCACGATGCTGCAGGAAGCCGGCTCTCTCCCTCTAGTTGCAGGAATATTGAAGCTGCTGCTATCGCCCTTCCCTTGTGTTGAGTGTATCTGTCTGCAAGTGTTTTTGCAATGACTGAGCAGCCCTAACGCTGCCTGCTCTCACACGTGTGGCTTTTTGTGAGTAAATCTCTCGTCCTCCTCACTGACACACATCAGCTCCTTCGAGTGACAGGCAGCCCCGGCCAATCGGTGAGTCTGCCGGCGAGCTTGCCATCATTCCGCCCCAGGGGCGGGGCTGTGCCCTGGTCGGGCAAGTGTGCCTGATGGTTGCTCCCACACTTACTCTCCACACGTTTAGAATCGCTGGTGCCTGCACACCTTTATCAGCAGTAGCATTGAAAGGGTTAAATCTGTGTACCGTAGTTATTGCTTTGTTTGTAGGATACTCAGCAGAGTGCAGAACAATTTCGAAAGAATAACTGCCTTTAATTCCACTTGCTCATTGATTCATACGCGTTCACTGATTCAGTCATTTACTCAAACCTTTCACTCAGATTATTCCCCTCCAATCACCTACTGTCAGTAATTGATCTGCTCACGCAAGTTTAGTATTCACCAATCACCATATGGGCTAAAACAGACTGGGTGACCACTTGGCAGAACATCTCTGTCAGCAAGCATGAGTCTGAACTTCTAGCCATCTGCCATTTTAATTCTCCACCTTACTCCCACACTGACATTTCAGTTCTCAGTCTGCTGCGATGTTCCACTGAAATACTAACAGAAGGTCAAGGGACATCAACTCCTCTTTCTACTGGCCACTTTGCAGCCTTCTGCACTGAACACTGAATTCAACAACTTGCAACCTCTGCTCCTAATTTCTTTCATTCTTCGTTGTCAATTTTTTCTCATTTGTCTCTTCTCAAAGAATCACAGAATGGTTACAGCACAGAAAGAGGTGATTCAGCCCATCAGCCCATTCTGTCCAAACTGTAGCAGAGAAAACAGACTCTCTGCAACAGCAACTCATCTACTGCCACTCCCCAGTTTTCTGGTAGCCCTGCAAACATTTCCTTTTCAGATGATTATCCAATTGCTTTTTGAAAGCCGCAATTGAATCTGGCTCCATCACAGTCACGGGCAGTGCACTTCAGACCGTAACCTCTTGCTGTGGCTACCAGTTCATCTTTTGCCAAATCCCTCAAATTGGTGTCTGTCTCAATCCTTCCCACAATAGGAAAAGTTAATTCCTCTCCATTTTCACATGGCAGCTATTTAGGATTCTCCCATTCATACCATATCTTTTAATTCTTTACAAGTCCCATTAGCATTCTGGCTTTGCATCTTGAAAACGTTTGTCATTTAATTACTCCTACCCACCCCCCTATCACGGACCTTCCCAATATTCCTGTCACTCCCTGCCATTTAATTGTCCAAAACTTATTATATTTATAACTTTTCCCAGTTTTGACCAAAAATATTAACTTTTTCTCACTCCACATATGCAACCAAACCTGCTGAGTATTTCCAAGTTTCTGCATCACTCAGCTTTTCAATTATATACTTATTTTCTAACTTAGTCATTTACTCTCTGTTAATCTTTAAACAATCACACTCCCTCACTCTAGTTTACATATGAGCTTTTACTCATTAAAACTGATCATTTGCTCACTCCCATTTTCACATGCTCAATTTACTTTCAATCATTTACTCTCACAAATTCACGGGTACCCAGTTTCATAACACTTTCTCTGATTTTCCCTCATCTTTAATTCACTTATTCGTACACTTGGAAGTTCTCTTATGTTCACCTACTCACTCTCTGTCAACAACTCATTCATGACCAGTACCAACATGAGGATGGATTGTACCATTATCCCGAGGTATGAGAAATTGTATTCCTTTTTAGTCTAACCTTCCTCATCAATTTCCGCCTTGCTCTCTTATTTTTCTCGACCTTAGACAGCCCATCAAATTCATTAACAACCCAGTGTCAGAGGGTCCAATGTGAAAGTCTGGCAATGGAATCAGTGTCTAAAGTTAAGCCAGGAGCCAAAACAAAATGTGATCCTGTGTAATATTTTGGCTAAATGAGAGTGGATAATGTTGTGATATAACAAATTTATCAGATGACTTCATTTCCACCTTGGTAATTCTGTCTACCTCTCTTTGATTCAATCAATTACAGATACATTAAAAGAAGCTATAAATTCCCATTTATCATTGATAAATTAATAAACAAAAATGGAAAAGAAAATAGAACAAATAAAAATCTATTCTTATTGTGGATGAATCACTCTAGCAGACAGGCATGAATATAACTCCAAAAATGAGGCAGAAAGTCAGGTCCAATGACTGCAGTTGGCTGCCCACTGCCTGGATCGGAGAGAGTCCAAGAAAGGCAATCGTTCAATTTGTCCATGCCTTTGCTCATGCCCCAGCAGAGGCCAGAGATCAGGAGTATGAGACTGAAATACTGTCAAAGGAGCAGATTTCATTAATTCAGGGACTGTATCTACAATTTTTGCAGGTAGCAGCACCATGCACTAATTATCTAATTTCAACACTTGCACTGAAATAACTTTTCACAAATTTGTGAACCATCCTTGCAAAGGTGCCATGCCAAACTTCTTGGTGTCATTTCAATTTTAGCATATGTGTTGTTGAAATGATCACAGAAAATTATTCTACCTTAAAGCTGCTATATAAATTAAGTTGCTGCATTTGTGATTGTGTTGTTATATGCTAACTTTGATTAATTCATGCCTTCAATTTTCTGATATCTTCTTAATATTGGCAATTCCTCAGAAGTGAGGATGACTTGCTTCCATTCCAGTTCAGTTTCCAGAATAGCTGATAAGTGTGATAAGCTGATATATGTGACATGTGGTGCCTCAAGGGTCATGTAGATAGGTTGTTTGGAAATTTGAGCACTCCCTCAGATGCCATGACTTCACTTCTGCATATCCTTGATGAAACTTCTTGATGTGTTCATTGATTTATTGGATGATTAACCATTGTGGTCGTCATGTACCAGGGAATCCAATGTGTCAGCAGAGATGCTTAACCTCTTTGGGAATGCTTTGAGGTCCCTACAATGTTTCTGCTGTCCTCCCGGGGAGTTTCATGACCCAACTCAAGTAAAACAGTTGCTACAGAAGTCTGGTATCAGACTTATGAATTACATGTCCTACCCAGCAGAGCTGGCTTTGAGTGATTATTGTCTCAATGCTGGGTAAATGTTTGGTAGACAGTTCTGATGTTGGAACAGAACTAATCTATTTTCATTCCTTTTCTCAACATGAAATCCATATTAACCTTTCCTTAATAATACTGATTATTTCTTATGGTTTTGTTCTGTTGCTGAAATGTTGAGGTTTACCCTTTACTGAATTGCCTTTTGTATTTTTACAACTAAGGAATCGTAGAATGGAATCCCTAAAAGTGTTGAAGCAGGCCATTCAGCCCACCAAGTCCACACTGACCCTCTGAAGAGTATCCAACTCAGACACATCCTCCGTACTTTATCTCCATAATCCTGCATTTCCTATGGCTAACCCTCCTAGCCTGCACATCCCTGGACACTTTGGGCAATTTAGCATGGCCAATCCACCTAACCCACACATCTTTGGACTGTGGGAGGAAACCAGAGCACCTGGAGGAAACCCACGCAGTCACAGGGAGTTTGTGCAAACTCAACACAGTCACCAGAGGGTGGAATTGAACTTGTGTCTGTGGTACTGTGAGGCAGCAGTGCTAACCACTGAGCCACCATGCTACCCAATAGTTAAGCATAAAATGGCAGCAGTGTGAAAAATAGTTTATTTTCCCAAAGATTTGGCGTGATTTTCCTTTTGTTGTCACTTTGGGTCATGTGGGTATGCATCACCTTAGAAATAACATTCCATGCCTCAACTTTAAAAAGATATATATTTGGTTTCTGTTGCTTAATTTTCAACTTCTCAATAGGTGTCTCACTTCCCACATCTTCTGATCTGCTTTCTGGGACCATGTTAGCTATAAACCTTTAAATTAAGGATTATTGTTAGTCTCCAACTAAATTCAACAAAATTGTCAATGCCATGTCTTATAATCTGCATTTGAATTTCACAATACATTTTAATATTCGCTCTGCAGACTAATTCTGCACATAATCAATGCACTCTCTCTTCCAAAGTCTGATTAGGCTAATGAAACAAATTGTTTCAAACAAATTGGTATGGGTGGAAGGAAATAACTGACACATAAGGAAGAATTTTAACGCTGATTGACAGGTGGTAGGGGTTGTAGGTGTAGATGATTAAAATTTCAGTATTCTGAAATACAATCTCAAACTGTTCTGCACACCCCCACTTCCAGTTTTATCTGAAGCACGTTGGGAAAGGGTCTAACATGCATTCTAGATGCCCACTGGTTATTTAAACAGGTTAAGAAGACTGTGAACCTCAGCTTGCAATTATCATTCATATTTATTAGCTGAGAGTTAGGCTTACCAGAGCTTGAGAAAGCCAATGTCTGCGGAGAGGTGGGAAACACTAGGGATAGAAGGGTAGTGAATTTCCACCACTCGCTGAGCCAGGATGAGTGAGTGCTTACACCCATGCCCCTGTAAACAAACCACCTCATCTGTCTCCATTGCTGCCCATGCTTGCCTGCTTTCTTGCAGCTTTGCTGCCAGAAACCACATGAACTGTGTGACCAACTATCATTTTGATGCTGCCAACCTATATTCACTTTAATCCCCCAACATAGAATTTCCTCTGCACTTCCTCAAGTCACAATCACCCACTGACCCATAATCACCCTCCTGTTAACGACCCAATCTATTAATACTCCCTCGCCATACAATCCTTTACTCATAAACATGATTCACTCCTGACCTACAACCTTTCTGCGCCCTATAAAAGGTGCAGGGGTTAGGGTGGCAGCTGGGTGAGGAGGGTAGGGTTGTGGGGAGATGAGGGGATAGTGTGGTAAGTGTGTAAGGGGGGGTTACGGCGAGTCAGCAAGGATACTGATTAATTTTATAATTAGTAAAAGATATGACACCTAAATGAGTCACATGCCTCCAATTCTAACTCAGCGGGTTCTAAATGCCTGGCTAATTACCCATCAGAATTTTAAACTTTCCAGGCAGTTCCCAGGTACTCATCGAGTTGGGATTTCTGAAATGTCCTGCATCTTTTCTAGTTGCTACAACAACTAGCTTCCTGTTGAAAGTTGTTTTGCTCAAGATCTGTCCACAAACCTTTTTTGCAGGCAAAACATAACTGAACACAAGTTAGAACGTACAGCAAATACTGACAGGATATATATCACAAAAGAGATTCTGATGACA